TTGCGCGTTTACCGCTAAAAAGAACCCCTTTGTCGTATCTCCTCAGTTTCAAGGCACTCCCCTTCTTGCCTCAGCCAGTATCGGTATCCTCGGAGTCGACATATCGAGTGACGTGCAGTTTCGTGGTCACTTGGAAGAGAAGGCCAAATTGGCCTCTAAAAAGCTTGGCGTGCTCAGCAGAGCGGGACAGTATTTCATGCCGGCACACCGCCTGCAACTTTACAAGGCGCAGGTTCGGCCTCACATGGAATACTGTTCCCATCTCTGGGCAGGGGCTCCCCAGTGCCAGCTCCTTCCACTTGACCGCATCCAGCGCAGAGCGGCTCTAATCGTCGACGACCGAGCCCTTTCCGATCGGCTCGATTCATTGGCACTGCGAAGAGATGTTGCATCTCTTTGCATTTTCTTTCGCATCTACCATGGGGAGTGCTCTGAGGAATTGTTCGGATTAATCCCAGCCGCCAAATTTCATGAACGCACATCGCGGCAGAACTCCCGATACCATCCACACCATCTGGATGATTGGCGGTCCACCACTGTGCGATTAAGAAGATGTTTTCTTCCTCGCACGACTTCCTTGTGGAATCGATTACCATCAGCGATTTTTCCGGACCGATATGACTTAGGGACCTTCAAGAAAAGAGCCTACTCCTTTTTAAAAGGCCGGCAACGCATCTGCAATTCCCCTGGTGTTGCGGTTGTTCATGGGCGGCGGTAGTCACTTACCATCAGGTGAGCCGCATGCTCGTTTGCCCCCTCTCCTATAAAAAAAAAAAAAAAAAAAAAAAAGTACACCTGTTATAAAAAATAAGACTGGTGACTCATCAGATGTGTCTAATTATAAGCCAATATCCCTGTCTACGGTGACTGTGAAAGTACTGGACAGTTTGCTTAGTCGGCGCCTAAATAAGTACTTCTCGCTCAATGACGCACAGTTCAGCTTCAGACCTGGTCTTTCTACCAAGAGTGCTTATTTGTGCATCAAGCAGACTGTTCAGTACTACACTGCAAGAAAGATACCAGTGTATGTTTCCTATTTAGATTTGCTAAGGCTTTTGACCTTGTATTCTATGAAACACTGTGGAATAAAATGAATTTTGAGACTGACTTGCCTCGAGAAATTGTATCGCTTTTCAAATACGAGTAGAATATATAATAAATAATAATCAAAAAAACAATGTAAAATAAGATGGGCAGGCTAGCTATCCGAGGAGTATAGGTTGAATTTCGGTGTGAGGCAGGGGAGACTAAGCTCTCCCATGCATTTCAACGAACGGATTGATTGATGAGCTCAGCAGCACCGGTATTGGTTATCATATAGACAGAGACTGTATCAACAATATCAACTACGCAGATGATATGGCGTTGCCGAGCCTATCAAGTGGTGCTTTAAAGAAAATGACTAATATATGTGAATCCTATATAACGGCCCAGGGACTTAAATACAACGCTATAAAGATTGAATTTATGATATTTAGACCGCATAATAAGCGTTACACTAATATACCGAATATTACGTTAGTTGGTACTCCTTTAAAGTAGGTGGAGTGTTTTAAGTATTTGGGCCACTGGGTCACGGAGGATCAAAAAGACAACTTAGATATTGAAAGAGAGAGGAGGGCTCTGTCTGTCTGCTGCAACATGTTGGTTACAGATTTGCACGATGTTCTATTCAAGTTAAGGTTACGCTTTTTAAGGCATATTGCCAGTCCTGTTACACGTGCAGTATGTGGGTAAACTATACGCAGAGGGCATACAGCGACCTGCGCTTACAATATAACAACGCGTTTAGGGTTTTAAAGGGTCTGCCGCGCTGCTGCAGCGCCTCCGCCATGTTCAAGGAAGCTCACACGGACGGATTTGCTGCAATTATGCGCAAGCGCTGTGCTATTTCGGAGCGTGCGCGGCAGCCCCAACACCATCCTGCGTACGCTGGCTGACCGCTGGACTTCTTGCCACCATCGATGCAGTTTCATACTTGTGTCGTCAACCAATATATTACTAACGCTAGATAAATTATATAATATTATACTAGAAGAAAACATTTACTAACAACTATGGATATTTTTTGTCCGAAATAAATAAATTATTATTATTATAATTATAATAAATTTAAAAAACATATCGACCCTTTCAAAAATCTTCGTTTTAATTATCTGACAAAAAAATAAATTAAAAATTGTAACCACCTCCGAAAAAATATTGCTGATTATCTTCAAACGGCTGAACAGATTTTCTTAAAACATATCTTAGAACACTCTCGATTAAGACATCTTTCAAATGAAATAAACTAAATCAAAATTGGTTTTTCCGTTGAGGAGCTATGATACCACAGACGGACACACAGATACAGAGATACTCGTACACACTCAGTTTTGTCGGAGGTTAAAAATGTGTTTCATGGACATATAAAATGCCATTAGTAAATTTAAGATACATGAAACCCAGTCCTCCACAACGGCGAACTACATCAAAAAGAGATTAGTGACAAAGCTATTTTAAATTGCCTATTAGAACTCTATGTGAGTTTCCTTTAAAAGTTTTAATTAAGCGGTTCATCGGAATTACATTGAGTAAGTCAGACACCATTCCATTAGTTGAATGTTGTTTCGGACACTGAATTTTGTTAAAAAATTGGACCAATACAACATAATAAATAGAAACTATTTTACCGCTACAACACAGCCTATTAAAGTCCACTGCTGAACATAGGTGTGCCCATAGATTGCCTAATGACGAAATATTTACCATAATTGCCACACTTTGAAATACGTGTAGTGGCGGTTAAGAATATCCACTACCCCATATCTTTCCGTGCCTGTCGTAAAAGGCGACAAAGGGAAACAGGCAGGAAACGGGCAGCAGAATCTTCCTGATAAAAGCAAAAATACAATAAAAAAACTGAGGTTGCCAACCCGTTTTCCATGCGTGGCAACTAAGGCAAATATGAATGTAACAAAGAGACGGGCCCCAGTCCCCGGCAGCCCCGCTTTTCCTGGCTACGGTGGCGACCATGGTAACGGTGGGGCAGGAGGTGCTAAGAATCTCCGGTGGAGGTTCGGTTGCCACCTAAGACGACTCGACCTGGCAACATACAACGCACGCACCCTGAGGACTGACGAGAAGATTGTGGAGCTGGAAGAAGAGATAGACAAGTAAGACGAACGTACGAAGACGCTGGTATATTATAGGATTATCCGAAGTCCGAAGAGAGGGGGAAGCCACGGTAATCCTCGAATCCGGCAACTTGCTCTATCACCGGGAGGGCGACCATCTGTCCCAAGGAGGTGTCGGATTTATCGTCCACAAGTCTCTCGTTAACAACTTTGTAAAGATTGAGAGTGTGTCGACGAGGGTTGCGTACCTTATACTCAGAATCACCAAACGGTATTCGCCGAAGGTCATACAGTGTTCGCGCCAAATACTGGTTGTCGGAATCGACGTCTAGGGGGCGCGCGGCTCTGGGCGATACCGGTTTGAAGTTCGGCCGAGCGTGGCAAGTGGCGCGCGGGTCGCGAGCGTAAAGGCGGAATCGTCTGTCAGCTGTGCTTGGAACAGCACGCTGTCATTTTTGTCGGAAACTCGGAATAATTCGGCGCGGCCATTGAATATACGGTCTAGGATTTTATGACGCGCATTCCTGCTGGAGAGCTTCCCAGGGACTCACTGTGTCTAACTCAGAACCTGCATAAGTGCATTCGGCAATATTAGCTAGTGCGGCCTGATATTCTAGAACTAACTGTTGCGACGCGAAACGGTAGTGACCTTTGATCCGTAAACTCCGTGTGCATTTTGTGCGTTAACCCTATAACCAGCGATAGTTAGTGGCTTCTGTAAGTTAGTAAATCGTACGATAGAGTTAATTGACTGTCATCGTTTCGTCATTCGCTCTTCCTTCGTGATTTTGCCGAGAGCAGACGTGCGCGAGCATGTGTGTGTCAATAAGGCTCATAATAGTTAAAAATTATCAATAATATAAAGTGCATTTGACTATTCAACACCAGCGACCGGCTGCGGTGGGGAACGTGCGAGTAAGATACTTACTTACTTACTTATCTTCACGCACAATCCCTGACGGGGTAGCCAGAGAGAACAGATCGCCAAGTATCACGATCCTTACATACCTCTTTCGCTTCTTTCAGATTCATTATCTTCTTCATACATGCACGTCTAGGTATCCGAGTACTCTTGACCCTATCCTCTTCGAGCAATTTGCTCACATGGTCTTCGAAAGTTAGTCTCGGTCTACCTCGACACCTTTTAATATTAACTTTCGCGCTATATATTTTCTTCACCATTCGGTCTTCACTCATTCGCTCAACGTGCCCAAACCACCGAAGCACGCCCTTATCAATTTTCGTGATAAGGTCATCTTTCAAACCTGCCATATTGCGAATCTCTTCGTTTCGCTTTCGGTCGGCCATAGTAACGCCGCACATTTTACGAAGAGATCGCATCTCCACTGCAATCAACTTGCTTTCATGATTCTTCTGGCATACCCAGGTTTTGCTGCCATATAACAAAGTCGGTACCAACACTGCGTTATGTATTGCAAGGCGTGCACTCTTCACCACGCCTTGCCTTTTGACTAACGCAGTCAGGGCACCATTGACTTTGTTCCCGGCAGCGACACGCCTGTCCACATCTAAATCACATCTTCCATCCCGGCTAAAAGCACTTCCCAAGTATACAATTTCATTTACTTGTTCTAGACATTCCTGATTTACCCATATTTCACACTTCGTTCTCTCTTCGTCCCTTTCAAATACCAGAACTTTAGTTTAATTAGCGTTCAAACGGAGACCTTTAATTTCACATTCCTCTTTCATACACGTGACTAATGCCTGCAGTTCTGCCTCTGATGGTGCAATAAGTACTGCATCATCAGCATACAGCAGACAATTTACTTTAATGTCACCCAATTTCACACCCAAACAGCTATCTTTCAGCTTTTGTAAACAGCTGTCGAGATACAGTATGAACAGCCAGGAAGACATGACACAACCCTGTTTTACGCCCGTTTGGACGCTAAACATGGGTGACAGGTCATGCCCTACCCGCACACAGGCTTTACAGTCACAGTAAAGAGACTGCACGGCCCTTAGCAATCGACCATCCACACCATACCCCGGCAACAGTTCCCACATTTTCTTCCATACAACCTTATCAAATGCTTCCTCAAGATCCACAAAAGCACAGAAAATCCTCTGGTTAGCAGCCAGAAGCTTTTCCGTGATCATGCGGAGAGAAAACATTTGATCCGTGTATCCTCTTCCAGGTCTAAATCCGCATTGTGCCTCCCATAGAAATCTTTCCGATTTCTCTTGCATCCTACGTGTCAAAACCTTCGAGTAAACTTTACTTGCTAAACTGGTCAAGCTGATCGCCCGATAGCACCCGCAGTCAAAATGTGAACCTTTACCTTTACATAAAGGCACAATGACTGCGGATCGCCAATCATCCGGGACATCCCCCGTCCGCCAGCACAAATTGCACAGCAGATGAAAGCTGTCCCAGACGCGAGGCCCATCATACTTGACTATTTCAGCAGTAACTCTGTCTAGTCCCGCAGCCTTACCACATTTCAAACTTCGAATCGCACGTTCAATCTCTTTCATACTGATGACCTCAGTGTCATCGAGGTCCGGGTCTGGCGTACCAGTCACGGCGTCATCCCCGGATCCCTCACTAAGATCATCACACGCATACATTTCTCTATAAAATTCGCTCCATCGCTGCATGACGTCCGATTTTTCTGAAAGGACGTCATTAGTTCTCGAAAGCACTTTGTTCATTCTTAAGGCCGTCGCACCACTTCGGGTCCTTCCAACCTCTTTCCAGAAGAGTTTGGAGTTCTCCTTAAAGTTGTGCGACAACCTTTCGTCCGCTTCCATTCTACACCTTTCACGCACTTCCTCAATCAATGCTTTCGTGTGAACTTTCTGTAGCCTATATCTTTCTTTCATCTTCTCTCTCATATCCTTATCATTACTAGAGGCCAAGTAGTCTAACCATGCTTTCTTCTTCTTCTTTACAGCTTCTTTCACTTCATCATTCCACCATGCATCTCTTCTTTTACTACTGCCTCTTTTTATTGTTCCACACACTTCTTCCGCTGCCCTTGCCATTCCATCCCTAAGGTTCTGCCATGTTCTTTCTACACATTCGATTCTGCCATCGATGGTGTCAAGCTTTTCGGATACCCTCGCATGATATTTGTCCCTAGTATCCGCTTCCTGAAGCTTCCAGCTTCGGATGCGACAGACCGACTTTGGTTCTGTCACTGCCGTCCGGTAGCGCCAACCCGCGAACAGACCCCTAAATCTAGTAATCACTAGATAGTGATCCGTTCCCAGGTCAGCACCACTGAACACTCGCGTATGCATAAGCTGTTTTCGCAGTCGGTCATCCACCAGGAACAAATCGATCATAAATATAGTAGACTTAATAATTGCCTTCTCGTTCCTGCATCGCATCTTTGCTCACTGAAGCAGCAAGCGGTGACAAAAAAAGACGGATGGTATTTGTATTTTTTTTCATCTCTTTCCTCCCTGCATGATCTTTATAACTACGTCAAACGCCGTAGACACTTCTACTACGTTCGCTACGAAATACATGCTACGAGATCACGACATTAGTTGAAGCATACCTACCAACTGCCAACACGCTTACTACAAGTGACACCGTAACTCTCGACTATAAAATATAACCTGTCAATTTGTTCTACACTTTGTTGAGCTGAAAATAAGTTTGAGGCTGTACGAGAACTCTGAAAATGTTTCGAACATCGGAAAATGCAATTCTGATTCCAACCTGCCTAGCGTCTCCGACGACAAAGAAACATCGCCTCCCAGTTTTGTTAGCTCACGAATTAAGAAAAAGCGCTCCGAAGAAATTCTGACCGATTTAGCGGATTTTAAAACAGAAATGAAAGACATGATTACTTCATGGATGGATCAGCAAAACAGCGAAAGAATCGAAGTAAGATCTACGTTGAGATCCATAGAGGAATCACTGACTTTTCTCTCAACCAAATACGACGACATGTGTAAAAAAGTGGACCTTATGGAGCAAGAGAGGCACAAACAGAAGGAATATATTACAATACTTGAAAATAAGGTGGAAAATCTCATGAAAGCCCAACGTAAATGTCCATATGAACTAAAAAATATCCCAAGATCGGAAAATGAATCCAAAGAAATGTTGTTGAGCATGGTAAGCAATTTATCTACATCACTTAAGGTCAATATACAAAGTAATAACATAAAGGATATATATAGGATGACCATAAAGGGTGATAAAAAGAATATTGTTGTCGAAATGTCAACTTACGTCCAGAAAATGAACATTACAAGCGCTGCTAAAAATTACAATAACCATAATAAGAATAATAAATTAAATACCCAGAACCTAGGTCTAAAGGGAACATGTACCCATATTTTATTATTTTATCTCTGACCATCTCACACCTAATGGTAATAAACTTTACTACTTAGCGAGGGAATTGTCAAAAAATCTGAAGTATAAATATTGCTGGACCTCGGTAGGTGAAGTTCTGATGCGGAAAGATGACTCATCCCCGATCATAAAAATTATGAATGAAGCACAAATAAAAGGCATTTATGAGGCCAACAAATGACTATGCATGAACTGTGTACTTAGTTTCAAGTAGATCCATGTCTTGCAAAGTGTTCAAGCAATTGATATAGGTTATACACATAACTTTTTAGTTGTACGTTGTACCTATGTTCTGTTAACTCTGTTTATGCCAGTTATACATTCATAACTTACACACTTTTCTTGTCACACATTGATCTTTATACTTACTCCAAAACACAAACACATATTCCACTCACACACCTCTTTATAAAAGTTCTATTTTCGCTACCTAAACATAACACCTTGCATTCACACTTTAGATTGATTGCAATAATTAACTTTGATCTGAGAGTTTGGAATAACCAATGTAGGAATTGCAGAGAGGTGTAAGACAGGGTGACGTCATATCCCCGAAACTCTTTACCGCTGCATTGGAAGATGTTTTCAAGCTTCTGGACTGGAAAGGATACGGTATCAACATCAATGGCGAGTACATCACTCACCTTCGATTTGCCGACGATATAGTCCTTATGGCAGAATCGCTGGAGGACCTAAGCACTATGCTCAATGACCTCAATAGTGTTTCCCAAAGGATAGGTCTTAAGATGAACATGGACAAAACAAAGATCATGTTTAATGTCCATGTCACACCTATGCCGGTAGTTGTTGGGAACACTAAGCTCGAAGTTGTTGACGAGTATGTTTACCTGGGACAAATAGTCCGACTAGGTAAGTCCAACTTCGACCGAGAGTTCAATCGACGGATTCAACTCGGTTGGGCAGCGTTCGGGAAATTACGGCACATCTTCTCGTCAGGTATACCTCAAAACTTGAAAACGAGACTGTACACCCAGTGCGTGTTGCCAGTGATGACATACGGAACTGAGACGTGGTCCTTCACTGCTGGCCGGATGAGGAAGCTCAAGGTCGCTCAGCGAGCTATGGAGAGGGCTATGTTCGGAGTTTCTCTGCGTGATAAACTCAGAAATGAGGATATCCGCAGTAGAACCAGAGTGACCGACATAGCCCAACGAATTAGTAAGCTGAAGTGGCAATGGGCCGGCCATATAGCTTGAAGAAACGACAACCGATGGGGAAGAAAGGTTCTCGAGTGGCAGCCTCGTACCGGCAGGCGAAGTGTAGGGCGTCCCCCCACTAGATGGAGTGACGACCTGGTAAGATATGCAGGAAGTCGATGGATGCAGGTGGCTCAGGACCGTGCTTTGTGGCATTCTTTGGGGGAGGCCTATGTTCAGCAGTGGACTTGTGAAGGGCTGTAATGATGATGATGATGAATGTAGGAATATTATTTTTCACTTTTATTCTTTCGTGGTAATCAACTGTCTAGAACTCCTTTATGCAAATAATTTTAAATTAATACCTATTAGACAAATTTACTACACACAAAATCTTCCTAATTTTCATGGATAATTTGTCCCATCCATATAATGATATAGACAATATTAGTATAGCTCACGCCGTCACTTGCACGCCTGAAGAGTGTTATTTACACATCTCAACAAAAAGTCACCAAACCATTCTTACCAAAAACATAAGAAGTATATACAAAAATCTTGATATATTTCAAGCTATGCTCCACTCAACTAAAACTCATTGCGACGTACTAGTTATGACTGAATGTCACCTCTCAAAAATAAAAAGTATTCCTAACCTAAACGATAATTATAACACACACTTTACAAAAAATACCTTAAACCAATGTGATGGCGTAGTATTTTATGTACAAAAGAATCTAAACATCAATGTATTTGAACCGTATATTACAAACGCGTCCTGCCTTGTTTTAACTCTTTATGATACTGTCATAATCGGCATTTATCGCACTCCATCTATTAGAAACACTGACGAATTCGTATCATCCCTTCAATCTCTTCTTATACAATATAATTGCTACCCGAATATTATTATAACGGTTGACATAAACATCGACATCAAAATCGACTCCAAAGATCCAAATTGTCATAACTATTTAACATCACTCGCTTGTTATGGGATACTCCCAGCTCATAGGCTCCCAACTCGTGATAAAATGAGCTATGATCACATGATGCTGAAAACGTCTCACGCTGCTAAATCACTTGTTCTTACTAACCCTACCACTGACCACAGTACAGTCATTCTTGACGTAATGTTTGAACCTCTGCGACGCAATCTGGCTCTAAAAACCAAAATTTCAATCAATTTTGATGCCACTTTGAATGACATTAAGGCGGACTTACCTGATATATTAACAATAACAGACCCTTCTGAAACTGCCCAGGTTTTGGTTTGTAAAATCTCCACTGCGATTAAAAACAACCAAACTATAAAAAGTGTCCCTTCAAGAAAAAGACATATCAAGCCCTGGATAACCACAGGAGTTTTACGTTGCCTTCGCAATCGCGACAAACTTCAATTAAAATTAAAAAAGAATCCGTATAACGAAATCTTGAAAGTAACCTATACACGTTATAGAAATTATTGTAGTAAACTTGTTCGAAAGCTTAAAATAATGCACGAAAGAAACAATTTAACTAGTGCTAATAAAAATCCTAAATTACTGTGGAAAACAATAAAATCTAATTGTAACATAAACACTAATAAAAATGACTATATACATAACCTACTCTCACTTAAATCC